CGCTACTTGGGAGGCTGAGGCAAGAGAGGTGCTTGAACCCAGGAGTTCGAGCTATGATCACAGCACTACATAAATACCAGGCACAGTGGCTCACATTTATAATCCCAGCACTTTTTGGGAGGCCAAGGTGAGAGGATTGCTTGAGTCCACAGGTCCAAGACCAGCCTGGGCAACTTGGTGAGACCTCATCATGACAATAAATTAAAAAAAAAAAAATTAAGCCGGGCTCGGTGGCTCAGCCTGTAATCCCGTGCCTTTGGGAGGCTGAGGTGAGTGGATTGCCTGAGCCCACAGGTTCAAGACCTGCCTGGGCAGCGAGACCTCATCTCTACAATAAATCAAAAAATCAACCGGGCGTGGTAGCGCATGCCTGCAATTCCGGTTACTCGGAAGGCTGAGGCGGAAGGATCGCTGGAGCCCAGCAGGTCAAGGCTGCGGTGGCCAAGAGTGTGCCACTGCACTCCAGCCTGGGAAGCAGAGTGAGACTACGACTCAAAAAAAAAAAAATTAGCTGTGGTGGTGTGCGCCTGTAGTTCCAGCTACTCAGAAGGTTGAGGCAGAAGACTGCCTGAACCCAGCAGGTCAAGGCTGTGGTGGCCATGAGCATGCCACTGCACTCCAGCCTGAGCAACAGAGTGAGACTCTGATTCAAAAAATAAATAAGTAAATAATAACAAAAAAATATATGTACATAAACTAAGTGAAATTTAAATATAAATGCTAAAGTCTCCCACAACTATGTAATGATACCTCATTTTACATGATATATGAATATGTATCTTATGAAATAATTTCACATCTCAGGTCTTTCTGCTACATCATACTACCAAGAGATTCAACATATTGCTAAGAGGCTAAATTTTCCAGTGGAATAACTATATTACAGAAGGGGGAGTAACATGAGATACTTTGTAGCAAGTGGGCAAAGGCACTAAGCTTCCAGGAAATGATTTTATTATGTTTCATTACGGATAAAGTCAGATCAATTAAAGGGAAAAAATGTTGCATAGTTATGACTAGCCAGAAGAGGAAACTTGTATCTTCAAAAACCACTACATAAACAATCTCAACTCCCACAACATGGCCTTTCAATGCCTCATTCTTTCATTAGTAAATGTCAAGCTGCTGTTACCTTACAGAAACACATGCATTTTCTTGAGCTCAGAGACCATCAATAACAACTAGGTAGCCCTATCCTATGACATATTAAATGGCAGACTTCCCCAGAGCATGATTTAGCAATAAGAATGCCTCCTCAGTGTTCTCTAGCATGAGTTATAAACCTTTTAGAAATTGCAAAGTTCCAAACTACTAACTATAACAATCCCAAAGTCTTGCTTTCCTTTGAAGAGCAAAACTGCTGGATATAACAACCTAAGAGCAAGAGAAAACAAACATGTTGGTGTAAAAATTTTCCAGGCTGCTGAGTTGTTTCTTTTTTTTTTTGAGTTGGAGTCTCACTCCGTCGCTCAGGCTGGAGTGCAGTGGCAAGCTCACGGCCATCCCAGCATCGACCTGCTGGGCTCCAACAATCCTTCTGCCTCAGCCTTCCAAGTAGCCAGAACTACTGGTGCACGCTACCACGCCCAGCTAATTTTTTTTTTATTGTAGAGACTAGGTCTCGCCATGTTGCCCGGGCTGATCTCAAATCCACGGGAGCTCAGGCAATCCACTCGCCTCTGCCTCCCAAAGTGCTTGGATTACAGGCTGAGCCACCGAGTCTGGCCAAATTCAGTTTTTTAAAATATTTTTTACTATTTATCATCCATCTTGTTCAAAGACTTCAGTTTTTATAAAACTTTCCCTATCTCTACTCCCATAAATTTTTAGTCTATAAAAACACCTGTTGGTTTTAGAGTATTAAATCTTAAAGCAGAGAGACATCTTTTCTAAAACATTTTAACTGAAAGAATTTCTTAAGTCCCAAGTTTAAACTAACAGTTTACTTCCTAAAGTAGTAGAACTAGCCCCAGTGTTGTCTCATTACTTAAGTTCTTCTCTGTACCTCCATTTCCTCATCTAGAAAATAAGGCAGTTGTACTAGATGGACTTTGGTTCCTCCCAGCTCTAACTTTCTTTTATTTATTTATTTATTTTTGAGCCAAGGTCTCACTCTGTCACCCTAGCTGCAGTTCAGCGGCACACTCACAGCCACCACTGCCTCAACCTGTCAGGCTCAGGTGATCCTTCTGCTTCAGCCTTCCATGTAGCTGGAACCACAGGTGTGAGCCACCACGCCTGGCTAATTTTGTTATTTATTTATTTATTTTTTGAGTTGGAGTCTCACTCTGTCGCCCAGACTGAAGTGCAGTGGCCACTCCCAGCCACCTTAGCCTCGACCTACTGGGCTCCGGCGATCCTTCTGCCTCAGCCTTCCAAGTAGGTGGAACTACAGGCATGTGCTACCATGCCTGGCTAATTTTTGATTTACTGTAGAAATGAGGTCTCGCCAAGTTGCCCAGGCGGGTCTCAAACCCACGGGCTCAGGCAATCCACTCACCTCAAACTCCCAAAGGCATGGGATTACAGGCTGAGCCACCGAGCCCGGCTAATTTTGTTATTTATTGTAGAGAGGAGGTCTCGCCACGTTGCCCAGGCTGTTCTCCAACACCTGGACTCAGGCAATCCTCTCACCTCAATCTCCCAAAGTGCTGGGATTACAGGCATGAGTCACCACGCCAGGGCAGCTCTTATTTTCTATCCCAAGATCTCCAAATCACTAATTCACTGCAATTGCTGTCTTGTTAAAGCTCAAATTGTAATAATTTTAAACATACAAGAAAGTAAGAAAGTCAGAGAACCTGAGCAGACTTTCCTCTCAGGCTTTCCAAAACTGTATGAAGCAGAAAATACGGCTGCCTGTTTGTTACCCTCACTTACATAAGAACCAGTCTAAATGGAATGAGAACTATAGAACAAAAGTAAACAATTCATAAACCCACAGATATTCCAATAAAATTAGAAGTCTGGTGATATTAAACTATTTCTCATATTTGTACATCTCATACCTGAATAAAAAAATATATATGTATCCTTTTACTGTGCTTTACTAAAGATTAGTTCCATACAATGAAATTTAATATGATAAATTCTAAAGACACTTTCACCTTTATTTTATGAATATGTTTAACCAATAGTGAAACATAATTCAAACTGAAAGACCAAATACTGTGGTCAACTAATTCAACATGCATTCCAATATATACCCCTTCCCTGATTCTATTTCCCTTCAAATCTCTCTTTCTTTCTTTCTTTTTTTTTTTTTTTTTTTTTGAGTTGGAGTCTCACTCTGTCACCCAGACTGGAGTGCAGTGGCCGCTCCCGGTCACCACAGCCTCGACCTGCTGGGCTCCGGTGATTCTTCCGCCTCAGCCTTCCAAGTAGCCGGAATTACAGGCATGCGCTACCACGCCCGGCTGATTTTTTTTTTATTTATTGTAAAGATGAGTTCTCACTGCCCGGGCGGGTCTTGAACCTGCAGGCTCAGGCAATCCACTCACCTCAGCCTCCCAAAGGTGCAGGATTACAGGTTGAGCCACCGAGCCCGGCTCTCTCTTTATTTCTAACTCCTCTCAATCCTACCTCCCTACTCCATTCTAGACCAACCTTTACCTACTCCGTTTATTTCACCTCTCTTCCCAACCATACAGAGTACTTTCAAAGCAATCTAGGAAGTTGTTCTCTACCTAGGAAGTAACAGAATCACCTAGGAAGCTTATTAAAAACATACATTAGCTGAGAAGTGGAAAAAATGTTTTTAAGGTAACTAGGAGTTAAAAAATTAAACCCTGACTAACAACTTGCACTGAGAGCAGGAAATTCTGGTTAACTAACTACAGAACTTTGTAGAAAAGTCTATCTGGAATCCATCAGATCATTTTCCCCTGTATTAGGAGTTACAGTTCATAAGACATAGCTGGTGATTTAATAACTGTTCTACAAATAGGTGGAGTTCATAATCAATTTTTCTTTTTAAGATGGTCTTGTTCTGTCACCCAGGCTGAAATGCAATGATGTAATCATGGCTCATTGCAGCCTCAAACTCCTGGGCTCAAGTGATTTTCCCACCTCTCTACCTCCGGAGAATCCAGGACTTCAGAGGTGCACAACCATGCCCAGCTAAGATGTTTAAATTTTTGTCAAGATGGGATCTTGCAACATTGCCCAGGCTGGTCTAGCCTCATGTGATCCTCCCGTCTCTGTCTCCCAAAGTGCTGGGATTAAGCCGGGCTCGGTGGCTCAACCTGTAATCCCGAGCCTTTGGGAGGCTGAGGTGAGTGGATTGCCTGAGCCCACAGGTTCGAGACCCGTCTGGGCAGGCAAGACCTCATCTCTACAATAAATCAAAAAATTAGCCGGGCATGGTAGCGCACGCCTGTAATTCCGGCTACTCGGAAGGATCGCCGGAGCCCAGCAGGTCGAGGCTGCGGCGGCCGGGAGCGGGCACTGCACTCCAATCTGGGCAACAGAGTGAGACTCCAACTCAATAAAAAACAAAAAACAAAAAAAAACAAAGTGCTGGGATTATAGGAATAAGCTACCAAGTCTAGCCTCAAAATCAATTTTTATCCTATGGAGAAGCTGGTCCGCAGGCCAAAGAAGGCCTTAGAGCTAAGAATAGTTTTACATTTTTAAAGGAGTGTAAAAAATAACACAAAAAAGAAAATGTGACCACAAATGGCCCAAAAGCCTGAAATATTTACTATCTGGTCCTTTACAGAAAGTTTGCCAAGCCTTACTTGCAGCATCAAAGTCACTGGGAAGTACACAGACCCCGGGACATTACCCAAAAGTGCTCTTATTAACTGAAAAAAAGGTTTCTTTAACTCAATTTCAAATGACTTAAACATAATCACTGCGATTACTCTTACTGACCTGCCTAAATGGCAAGCCCTTGAGAAAGTGTTATCCCAAAAGGTTTTATTCCCTTCTTTAGACTCAATAGTTTCCTCTAAAATGCTAGTGTTAGTCTAATAAAGGCAAAAGATTTGAAGCCTTACCTGGGGCATTTGCTATAGCCAACGGCAGACCTGGAAGCTGGTGCACCTGGATTCCTGAATTACTCAATGCACTGAGGTTAATGGTCTGGAGGCCTGGCAAGGAGGAGAGTTGAGCAGCATTCACAGTGACGGTGCCGGCAGGAATGGAGGCAGCTGAGGCAATGGGTGTAAGAGTGGTATTGCTGCTGCTGGTCTGCCCCAAGGAAACACCCTGCATTGGGGCTAAGGTGATTGTCTGGGCTTGTGGGTTCTGAACTTGGAGGTTCTGCAGCTGAAGAGTCTGCCAACTGACCTGTCCATTGGGCCCTACTGTTGGCGTCCGGATGATGATGGGGCCAGAGTTTGGAACAGCCTGAAGCTGGAGGTTCTGGAGGGTTTCCTGGGAGATAGCTTGAGTTGTAAAGGTCTGCCCAGACAATGGTGCTGCTTGGAGGGCTTGGAGGGCCTGTCCCCCTTGAACTAGCTGAGGCTGAATAAGAATCTGTTGTTGCGTCTGCTGGTTTTGCTCTCCCTCTTTTTGCTGGCTTGCTTGCAGTGAGCCTCCAGACGTCTGGTTCTGTTGGATGTTCAGTGAATCAGACCCCTGTAGCCCACTGACCCTCTGGGGTGTCTGACCTTGAGAGCTGGTTCCTGATGATCCACTGGCGGTAAAGTTCATAATTCCCATGTTGCTGGTGGTAGTAGTTGTTGAGTAGCTATTGGCATTGGTGAAAAAGGAGCTGGAACTGGCTTGTGATGACACCAAGCTGGCAGAACTGATGGTAGTCCCTGAGGTGACAGGCTGTGAGCCACTCTCCTGGGATCCAGAGCTGCTGATCGTGACTGCCTGAGAGCTGGGAGTCAAGGTAGCTGCAGAAACACTGTTGACAGGTAGCAAGGTGATGTTCCCATTCAGGGCCACTGGTACATTGGTCACATACTGAGTCTGTCCTGAGAGTACATTATTAGCCAAGCCTTGGAGGGGGACAGCTTGCTGGAGTAGGTTTGGCATAGCAGCAATGATGTTACCTCCACTTCCTCGATTTGTGATGATCTGTTGGTTTGCACCTGGTATGATCTGAATTTGACCAGAACCATCCTGCTGCACTTGAGCCCCAGTGGCAGCAAACTGTAGCTGTTGCCCATCAACGGTCTGGAACTGTGGGATTACTTGATACTGAATGTTAGGCATCACTCCAGGTAGTCCTGTCAGAACTTGCTGGTTCTGTAAGTTGGGAGTGGCAGCCACAACATACTGCCCACCAGAGACTGTGCGATTCTTGGAAGACTCACTGCCATTGTTGCCATTGTTGCTGCTGCCACTCTGTTCCTTTGAGGTAGGAGTAGCCCCAGAGGAGGAAGAGATGATCTGCCAGCCATTGGCACCCTGTGAAAGTTGTGTGGCTGTGAGGTCAAGCTCACCTGTGCCCCCTGACTGACTCGGGCCCTGGGAGTTGTTGCTGTTCTCACTGGGTGACTCAATTCTGCTGCAAGTTGCTGCCAGCAGAGCCAAAGGGGATGGCTGGGATTCCTGGCCAGAAAATAAGGGAGAGGAAAGGAGTTAGCGACACCCAGCTGCCAGGCTAGGGGGCAGTATACAACAAATAAACAGCAACACAGATAAGGAGCAAAAACCAAAACCAAAGAGCTGACCTATCTATATTGCTAAACTGGCATCTTTGGGGATCTCCCAAGTCACTTGTCTCCCGGTGCTTACTTCCTTATCTATAAAATGGTTTAGTCCTTCCCTAAAAAGCTTTCTGTGAAGAGTGGCAATTATCTAAGAATATTTACATCCTCTCAACACCTTCCCCACTGTGTCTGATTATCACTTACCTGCCCTCCTCCTCCTCCACTGCTGCTGCTACTGCCTGTGCTGCTGCTTCGCGCCTGTGAAAAGGCACCACCACCATTACCATTTCCCCCATTATTGCCACCAACTCCTTTTTCAATCTTCACCACAGCTGTCATTTCATCCATGGAGTGATCTTGGTCTGAAAAGAATTAAAAGAGAAACAACTTACTTAAAGGTGGGTGAAGAAAAAGCATAAAGTGGAAACAATAAAAGGAGACTATGATGAACCAGCAGTGACTATGAAACAGAAAGGTGAAAGGCGCAGGGGTAAAGAAAATGAATTCGAGCCAGGCTCGGTGGCTCAGCCTGTAATCCCGCGCCTTGGGAGGCTGAGGTGAGTGGACTGCCTGAGCCCATGGGTTCGAGACCCGCCTGGGCAACTTGGCGAGACCTCATCTCTACAATAAGTCAAAAAATTAGCCGGGCGTGGTAGCGCGTGCCTGTAGTTCCAGCTACTTGAAAGGCTGAGGTGGAAGGATCACCAGAGCCCAACAGGTCGAGGCTGCAGTGGCAGGAAGCGGCCACTGCACTCCAGTCTGAGTGACAGAGTAAGACTCCAACTCAAAAAAAAAAGAAAGAAAATGAATTCGAGGTCAGGGTAGTCGCAGGGCATGCAAGACATGAACTAGGCTCAGTGGTGCCAAAACCGGGTCTCCATTCTACCTTGCACAAAATTAAATTAGAAAAACAGGCAAAAAGTGCTCGGGGGGATAGGAAATGTGAGGGATGGTAAGCATGTTGAATGAGTTTCAAAATAAGAAAAAGTATCCTGGGGAAAAAACGTAAAAGGATAGGTAAGGTAAAAAACAACATGTGGGTGGATGGAAACCTTGCTAAATTTAGGGCTAAAAGAGATGAAGAATAAAAACACAAGTGTAAAAAGTAACAAGAGGCGGGGAAAGGGGGAAAGAAGTAATAAAAAAAGTGTGAGTGGGGCAACATTTGTGAACACTGGTAACGGGCTCAAGGGGTCCAGGGGTTTGAAAGCAGGAGGTGTCGGGGCGGAGAGAGGGCGGGCCCTACAGGGAAAGGGCGGTTTCGGGGTGAGGGGCGTGGAAAGGGCGGGACGGTGGGGGGGAGGGGAAAACTACAGAAAGTGGGGGGGAGGAGGGCCTAGGAGCAGGCGGCGACCAGAGGGCGGACACGGGAGGCGGTTGGCCCGGGCG